ATTAATGGGCGGAATATTAGTGTTGCGTCTTTTAAATTTAGAAACAGCGTTCCACAGTGAATTATCATCCGTGGAAAGTGATTCCAAATGTTTGGCCCAGTCAAGTTGTGCATGTTTTTTGAGTAGAGTCCTGACTTGCTGGTTCAGTTGATTTAATAGAGCTTTGTCCGTAGGGCATCTGAATTTCTGCCACTGCTTACGGATGTGGTTCCTTCGTCTGATAATTTCTCTAAGTATCTTATTCTTGTACCGTTTGTCTGCTCTCATAGTTTTACTGTTTTTCAGCAAAGCATCATGCAGTTCCTCTGTGAATTCTTCCATGCAAGCGTCTAACTCATCCCTCGACTGTATCGTGTGGATAGGGTACTGAGTGTTGTTGAGAGCTTTGGCATATCCTGCCCAGTTTGTAATAAGGGCTCGTTTGTGTGGTGTACTATAGGAGTCGGTAGTAATTTCCATCATCACAGGGTTATGGTCTGATGATAATTCCGTCAGACTTTCTACATAACTAGGTGGGTTGATATTTTTTAAGATGAAGAAATCCATGACTGACGGTCTACCTATCCCATAGTGTGTTGGTTTTTCCGGAACTGCGAGGTGAATATTGGCCGCTTGGGCAATGGTGTAAATGACTTTTCCGTGTTGGTTAAAATCCCAGCAGTTCCACTCGCGATACTCTCCACCTATAATGACTCGATTGTTTGTGTTTAATAAGGTTTGTAAATCTGTCTTGACAGAATTTGTAGGTGAGTGTATGGGGAAATAGGGGGAGATGACTGTGATTGGTCGTGAAGTGTTTGGCGTGAGTGTAATAGCTAGGGCTTCAACTGCTAAAAGCTGTGGTAATGTTGTAGCATGATGAGGGATGGAGCGCTTGATTAAAATAAGCAGCCCTCCTCTTGCGTTGCCTCTTGGAGCATATCTGCCTTCTGTAGGTCTGTCCCAACGATGCGTCACGTAGTTGCATGCTCTGAAGTAGTTTTGGGGGCCAAGCATGTGTTCTTGTAGGAATAAAATATCAGGGGAAACTTCATGTAAAAACTCCTTAAGCTCGTAAGCTTTTGGGAGCAATCCATTTGCGTTCCAGGTAACACAAGTTAAATGCATATTATGGTTTTGCTGATACATTGTTGTTAATTTCATTTACTATTTCATAAAACAAATAATTTATCAACCGGGTCACTTAATTCTTTTAACTTTGGTAAATAAGTTTTGAACACATTGTTCATTAATCTTATATTGTTAATTCCTAAAATACTATTAAATTCGGAAATATTTTTCATGAAACACAAAAACTCGGAGCCTTGTGGCTTCTCTTGATTATCAATTGAAACATTTTCAATAGATTTGTTTACATTAGACATGTTTAAATTTTTTAATGCGTTACTAAGATCAGTTAACTTAATGTTTTTCACTGTTTTTACTATGTGCAGCAGAAGCCGATTTTGGACTGACATAGCCGAATTTTCTGCGAATAAATTCGCCTGGTATTTCAGCCTGTCTGCGAAAGAAATTCCTTTTGCGAAAGAGATTCCTTCCTTTTTTTACCGTATTATCCTTTCTTGGGGGATTGATTTTATTTTTGGGAAACTTTTCGCAGCCACGGTAGGAAGCCACGTGGTTTTTTAGGCAGTTGGCACGTTTCGGTTCCTCCATTTTTCCTTTCGTTGGGCAGTCCATCGTTTTATGCTCTTCTGAACATTTCACACAACGTGGAGCAAAATGACAATTATCTGATGAGTGGTGCCATTTTTGACAATTATAACATTGTGGCACCTGGTTTTTTTAGATATATTTTTCCACCGTGACCGCGAAAAATAATAAATCACTAACATTATATATATTTCCTCTGCGATTTCATTTTTAATAACATGTACCAAAAAGAGAGGCATTGGGGCTTTAGTTCGTCGTCGTGTAAGCTGAGTTACTTTGCTAATTCCAAATCCTTTGGCAGTAAGGGCACCGGCAATATCATCTGTATTTGTGGTTATGGATAAACCCCTAATAACCACTTTTATGGGTCTAGCATAGTTTGCATTTATAATATAGTGCTCCACTTTCTTTTCCAGAAATAATGCTGTAAGCATCCGATGGTCGTCAGCTGTCCTGGGTAGAACTTTTAGAAGTTCTCCGTTCACTTTTCCTAAGAATTTTGCCTCCGTTTTCAAAGATAATTCTTTTAGAAAAGCCTCGTGAGTTAATTTCCCTGAGTTAACCATAATTTGGGGGGATAGTTTGGGTGTGATTATTAGTCGGCTGCTGCTGCACTACCTGCTCATCTGGGGTAGCAATAATGTTTACATTATCAATCTCAGCATTATCATTAAGAACATTAAATCTATTCACATTTTCCATAACAACAGGAATTTTTTCAAGTTTTTGTTGTTTAGCAGTTTTACTAGGAATTTTAAAGCTATCACTATCCATTAAAGCAGAGTTACTATTATTTTTCCTTTTGTTCTCAAAATTTTTCCGTTTAAGATTAGGGTTAACAGGGGGGACAATGCCTGAAAAACAAGAAAAATCGCACTTACTTCTAATATCCGCCGCTTGTGCTTGAAGAGTTAGCAGATTCTTCTTCATAATATCCGTGATGGTGTCAGGATCCGAGACTCGTCGAAGACGTTGACACGCTTTCATCGCTGTCTTAATTCCATCTATTTCTTTTTCCAAATCCATTAATTTTTCACGGTAATATTCCATATTCGTTTCATCGATCTGAGTATGCGAGGGAAGTCCAACGCAGCTCTCCGTAGTGGTAGTCGCCGCTGATGAATCACTAGTATCCATCCGTGCGCCATTTTCGGCTGGGGTACTCGCTTCCGTCGGAGCGCTCATGGCACGCAACCTACACGTACGAGGACGATGGACCGAATGTGCTGAGTTGAACTGGATGACTGATTAGCTGTTGGCGTCGAGCCCATAACCCAGTTGGCAAGTGGTGATAAAAGCAAAGCATGTTTTGCTTCCCTTAAATAAAGCTTAAGACTAAACTAAATAAAATTCTTGCTTTATTCCGTAAATAAGATAAAAGAGCTAACACTGTAGCCTTTACATTTAAAATCATTTAGTGAAAGCAAACTAGCATAAAGCTAACTGATAATCACACAAGAGAACAAGAAACAAGATTTGCCGATACCGGCGTACATATATATTATACTCGGCCAACCCGTTGATCTTGACGTCATCGGCCAATCAGCGGCAACCACGTTAGCTTACCTCCGATCAAAATTTGCATGTGGAAAACTAAAGCCAACATCAGTTAATGTTGCAGATTGCGTTGTTCCTTAATCTTCGAATTGGATCTGGCTTATTATTTTTTGCAGACTGTTAGAGCAATTTTATAAAAGTAAGCTTGAACTTTCAATTCTGTCAAATAGAATTTCTGATGCTGCATACTGCCAAAAAATCTACAAAGCAAAAGCATGTTCCTATGTCCATCAAACAAAAAGTTTTGGCTTTGTGTAGCAGTGATTTTAAAATCGCCCAGACTTTTTTCTTTTGAACTACATCTCATTCTTGGCTCTTGCTTTCTACCTCTCAGCTTATCTATACTGCTGCTGCACTGCTCTCTTTTTACTGTAACAGTATCAAAAAAGTGAATGTTCTGGAAGAAGCATGATTTAGTGTGCCAAAGTACCTGTGGCTGCTGATCTCAATTAAAATATGAATTAATATTTAAATTTGTGATGTCTGCTTCTTTAAGTATGCTGCATCATCTACTTTTAATTTATCTAAATTATTATGTATATATGCAAACACACACATATGTATATTACATGTTTTTTTTTTTTTTTCTTTTTTTTTTTTTTTTTTTTTTTTTTTTTTTTTTTTAAACTAATGACAGAATATAAAGCAGTTGAATAACTTTTTTTTTAAGGTTCAAATAAAATGGGAATGAAATATCTAAATTGAAGTTGCATCCTAGATTTGAATCGGTTTGCATCATTATTATTTTATAAACAGATTAATAATAATAATATAATTTTATTTTCATTATAAAAGTCTTAAGTTACTTCATCAAGTATTTGACAGTGATTGTTGTATTCTTATACAAGATGTTATTAAATACTGTGTACTTAGCTAATTTATTAAAATTTAAGTCAGTAACTTTTAATAGTAAATTCAATGTTAGTTTAGGTTAAAATAACACACTGAATAACGATTATTGACAAAGTTAACAAGAATCAGTGTAATGTTTGTAAATTTTACAGGTCTTTCTATGGTTTAAATACAGAACCATCGAAACTAGTCCTGCAAAATTTACAAACATGCTGATTCTTGTTGCTTAACTTCTCCAATAATCGATACTAGTCCCAAATATAGGGGACATAGTTCCAAGTATATGCAAGCCCAATTTATACAAACAGTCACTTATATTGCTGGGGTCAGTTTTTAGAGGGTGCAGCCATCAAACCTAGTCCTGCAAAATTTACAAACATTATGCTGACTCTTGTTGCTCAACTTCGCCAATAATCAACATTAGTTCCAAATGTAGGAGACATAGTTCCAAGTATAGACAGGCCCAGGTGAGACAAACAGTTACCTATATTGCTGGAATCGGTTTTTAGAGGATGCCTACTAAATTGGTCTTAAAATGGAAAACTAAATTATATTTTGCTTTGAGTTGACTGCCAGTTGTACTTTTTTTCTACATTGCTCAAATTGATGGAGCAAGGACTGATTAGGTGATGCATGTTTAATAGTTTTGTTATAATTTATTATCATGCTTTTAAATAATTTGATAATTTTCACTACTTATAAAAGTGCTGTATATCACTTGATATTAAGTTAATTTTTATAAATTTCATTTGTAATATTGTATTTCTTATTATTTAACTCTGAGATTTATAATGAAATATATTTTTTTTTTCATCCAAGAAAGACATTTGTATTTATTTTTCATAACTGATTTTAAGTGCTCCATTTTAGCATAAATCTTTATTGCAGTATGTTGTCTACTAGCATAATGCTTACTTATGTTTCTTGTTTATTTTCAGTATTTCATTGGCAAGCAACTATAATGGGACCAGTAAGTCTTTTTGAAATTTGTTTTTAAAGATCTCGTTTAGCATTAAAGGCTAAGAGCTTTATAAAAAATCTTAATAATACTTTTTAATTTCTTGATGATTGTGTGTGCTAAGTAAAGCACTGCCTGATTTTGAACAGTAGTGCCTGACTTTTGTGCATATGAGAGCCTTCAAACAAATGTTTGTTCCTTTGACTGTGCAGGTATCTTTGTTTCAAATCATTTTTATAAACCATTTTCAGAAAGAACACTATGTTAGATTAACTAACTAACACTATGTTAGATAAAATGTTAGATTACACACATAAGAAAAATAACATACTATTTTAAATGTATTTCTTAAAATTTTAAGACTTGAAATATAGTGCAAGTTAGGGAGAATATTGTGGTTATTCTCCCTAAGTTGTATTATATTTTAAGAGAAGTTAAGATAAGTTTTATGAAGTTGTTATCTAGTTGCATCTTTGTAGAAAACTGCATTTGCTCTAGGCATTAACGAACTGCTCGTTTTTAGAAGGGCAAGATGGCGACATAAGTGATTAAAAAAAAAAAGGTGTAGCAATGGGCATAGAATGTAGATCCACAGTGAAATGGAAGTATTCTGATCGTGTGGAATGCTAAAATGTTGAATTGGTAATGACCAGGAAACTTAGCCGCCAAAAAATATTAAATATTCAGTTTTATTTCAGTTGACATTTGTGGCCGCAATCTGCTTAGCACTCTAATGATGCTTATTCAAAACCATTTACATTTTTCAATACTGTAGCGATAGAAAGAGAGAAAGGAAAATACCCTCTTAATAGGAAGAGAGGCAGAAACCAATGTCCAGATTTACTGTAAAGGACCTTATTTTCGCGAGTCCATCGTAATCGCAAAAATTTAAGCCTCGCGAAATACTTTTTTTCGCCCCTCAACTTTTGTACTTTTGAAATTTCCAACTTTTGGTTCTTTTCATATAAAATTCAAAAAATTTTCAGTTCGCGAAATCACTGATATATTTATTTTTGCGAAAATAAGGGCCTTTACAATATTCAATGAAAGCTCACCAAGAGAAGGTTTAGGTTAGAAAGGTTTCAGTTCAACATAGTTTCCGCCAATGATCAAACACTTGTCATAGCAGGTGACCAGTTTTTGTATACCATCGTCAAAAAAACTTCCCGCCGGTTTCGATAACCTTCAAAAATCGCCGCTTCACAAGCCAAAATAACGAGTCAAAGAATTGCACAAAATCGGTATCCATGTATCGCCAAGTTTTGCCAAGGGGTACCCTAAACTATACTTTTACCAAAAGTAACTTGGGTATATTATATCTACAGTTAGAAATTATAAAATAAAATTAAATAAGCGTCTACAACTCAAAACTATTAAACATAGCGGTAGCGAAACTTTGAACGAAAGTAAAAGAGAACTGCTCTAGTGAAAAACCAAACAGCTGACTGATAAAATTACCGTTGATCTTCAGAAAATCACTCCAAAAATTTGTTAGTTGGTAACCAAACGTCCCCTCCCAAAAAAGGGGGGAGAAAGAGAAAAACAGGAAATGAAACACAGATGGGGATCCACCTTCTGTTGTCACTGAACTGACTGATGAAATGCTGAGAAACAAAGAATACAGTCTCTCAGTTGTCTGAGTTTATCGGTGAGCCCGGTCTAGGCACACCTCAGGTTCGCTGTTCGATTTTAGACAACATTTCAGAGTAAAAATTTAAAACTAATATAGAATAAGGAGATTAGCTTACAGCCAAAAATAATAACATAGAAATTTCTTTTCAAACAATTCCTTTTGTACCCTAAAAAATCTGGAAGATTTCTTTGAAAAATGAGGGTCTTAAAAAACTAAACATGGCTAAAATGTGTAGACTGGTTTGTGTTGAGCTGTCATCTAGTATTAGAAATGAAGAAGGTTCAGAGTAACCTATAAATCCTTTTTCATTCAATTTTTCTGTGCTTACAGAAGGAAATTTTTATGTGCCGCAAAGGGTTAAGAGGCTTTTACTAAACTAAATTATAAAACTGCTTTTTGTATCTTTTTAATCTTATATATTAGAAGTTTATGGTTAGTAATAGCCATCAGTAATATATCAGCTTTATCTATAAAATGTGATTCTTGAAGTGCTGTTTATTTGCCATGTAACATCCAGATAAATTTTTAGTAAAATGTGCGAGTTTTTATTGCAAAAAGAAATAGTTTTATATTAATGAAATGTAGTTATTTCTTTGTTATAGTGTCTACCTTGGTCATTCTCCAAAACCAGAAGATTAGTCACCGCAAACTTATGACAGTAAATGTGTAATAACAGTAATATGTATATATAATGTTTATAAATGTATATAATGTTTAATGTGTGCAGTCACAATGCTGAATTTGTGCAATTCTCAGTTGTGTTTTTTTTTTTTTTTTTTTTTTTTTTTTTTTTTAGTAAAACAAATTGCTGTGAATATGGGAAAAAAACTTTTTTCCCCGTGCACAACGGAACAGTTACATTTGTTTAAAAAATTTGTTTTTGCTTTTAAAAAAAACCAAAGAATGGCATGAATTCAGATTGTGCACAGCCTTGGCATTTCACACAGCAAGAAGCATTATACTATGTACTGTCGTATGGTTTTTAATTTTTTGAAGCTTTCCATAGTGATTTTGAATTTTCTCCAGATTAATTTTAAAGTCACCAAAAACCAAAGCTTGTGGTGGCCACTTTAACAAAGAATTAAGTACAAAAACTTTTTATTCACTACTTAAAAAAATTAATATCTTAACAGATTAGATTGTTAAGATAATTATAGGAGTGTTACATATGTAACAGTTTGTTATCGGAAATGTGGGATGATTTTAAAAGCTAAGTTTTAAAGTACAATCTCATATAAAAATTTTATGTAAGTTCTTAGTAAGACATGAGTGTGTTAATAAAGATTAATTGTTAAAAGATTGCAGATGTGAAAATGTATAAATAGATAAAATGAACTATCTTCATAGATACCTAAAGTGATTGTTGCTAAATTGACCATTCCTGTATGACATGAAATTCACATCCTTTCTGTTATAAGGCAGCATATTCCAAACAGTTTTTTTTTTTTTTTTTTTTTTTTTTTTTTATCATCAAGGCATATTTCTTCCTCCTTAAAATAGTAATGTATCATGTTACTAATTGTACTTTATTCAATTATTTATGAGAAATAAGATGGAGAGGCCAGAACGAGTGAGGATCCCGTTAGTCAGCAGTGTTGATGTATTTGCCTTTAATATTATGATCATGTGTTCTTATTTATAATTTTATATTTTTTTTTTTTCATATAAGAAATATCTTTAAACATTTTTAAATTGTCATTATGTTTTAAAGTAGTATTAAATGTTGCATTTTGTTGTAAAAAAAAGGACACTTCTTACAAAACTAGAATTTGATAAGTGAACATTTTCGAGATTAGTGTTAGTTCCAAATATAGGGGACATAGTTCTAAGTATGACAGTGAAAGTGATTCATTGGGTCAAAGTATGCATGGATCATTAAGATCAACATTTTCAGTAGGACCTGTAGAGAAGAAGAAACAAGTAAGTAAATAGGTTTTTGCCTTCATACACCACCCAACATTGAAAATACAACACCAAGAAGGAGTGGCCATAAAATGATGAAACTCTGAAAACAGAGAGACAGCAATTAAAAATAAGTTATCTTTATTTCAAAATGATATGCATAATACAGAGCTAGAACAGCATCGGCTGAGTAGGTTTTAGGACTACCTTGTACAGCAATACACGAAGCAACACATCTAGGTACGGAGTCATTAAGATTACGGATGGTGCCCTGAGGAATGGCTTTCCATTCCCTGTCAATCATTTACCACAGTTCATCTTCTGAATGCGGCAATGGCAGGGTTTATAAATGGTACCCAATCATATTCCAAATTTCATTCATTCAAATGTTCAATTGGTAAGAGATCAGGAGAGAACAGTGGTCAGAGAAGCATTTTTGCATCTTGCAGAGCATGTTGGCAGATGCAAGCATTGTACAGTGTCACCAGCCACAGGAGATCATCCACCTATCGTTGGGCCAGTGTAGTGCCCTGAATACAAACTAGAGGTGACCTGGATTCATATGCAATTTATGCCCTAAACCATGATGTCACACAGTAGGGCGTTCCATAATTGCTGTCGGATTGGACCTGTCTCCACATCGACGCCACACTCATACAGGATTACTGTCACTAGAGAAACAGAAGCGTGACTCATCTTAGAACACAACATTGCGCCATTACCCAGTACCATTGCAGACATTGGCATCTATGATGTGTGGTCAATGGCAGTCTTCCTAACGGATGCCACAACTGCAGGTCAGTAGCCACCGAACAACGGCAGATGGTTGTGGTCGATATGGAACATTCACGGTATCTTGGGACATGCTGTAGAATGGAGGGAGAAGAGGGTAGCAGCCACACCACTGCTTGTCAGTGAATGCATTAATCTACTCATGCTGACTCACTCTGGCTGCACTGGCACCCCTCGAACTTCTCCTTGTTCCAACCATTGTCGCCACAGCCTGTGGACTTTGGATGCATCCAGGCTTGTGTCAGCTGAGATTTGCTGTATGGACCAACCTGCCTTTCTCAGTCTGATCACCATGCCCCTCATAAAATAGTCTGTCTGCTGGAACTGCCTCCGTTGGAGACAGCCGCCCAGTATCTGCTATTACACGCGTCCTTCAAGCCTGCTGGCAAGCTGCTCCTTTCACATCATTTGCATAACTTGGTAATTTGTATCTACCCTGAAATTTGCATAATTTTCAGGTCACTCCTTGATGTTGCATTTTCCATGGCAGGTAGTGTATACTCATATAATATCATCATACAGTTCATGCATTCGTAACTTACTTTAGGTTCAATTTGTCATTTGCCATCCTGTATTATATTCATCTATGTGATGAAACATTTTCTCTAATATTACTTAACTACTTTTATATTTTTAGCCGGATAGCCCTTACCAAGGAGGCGTTTTTTTCCTCACTATTCACTTTCCTACAGACTATCCATTTAAACCACCTAAGGTAAGAATTTAGTTTCAAAAATTGAATTATTTATGTGCTGAAGTTTCCTTTTTTAGTTGTTGTTATTTGTAACTAATAGGATCCTTATTCGTGATCAGAATGGGAATGGAGCTTAAGCAGATAGCCATTAGGTGCTTTGCTTGAATAAATTAATCCAATTACATGCCTTTCTACCTATATTTCTTAGTCTCTTTAAAAACCATTGCATATAAAACAGCAATAATGAAATTAAACTGAATATAAATTATTAAAGTGTTTTAAGCTACTACTAGAATAGAGCCACAAATGTTATTCTGGCTGAATTAACATCTAATTTCTTTATACCTGTTTCGGCATGTGAGAAATTATATCCTACTCTGAATTATCTGAACTTAGCCACTTTATTGTGTTTAGTCAAGAGTATTAGTGACTGAAAAAGTATTCAGACTATACTCATCTAAGCTGCAGCTGGTCTGAGAAGGATAACCTAATAGTTATCGTACCTCAATTTTTTTAGCCTTTAGTAACCGCTTGCCTGATTATCCCGAGTTATCTCGGGTTCGTATATATTGCAGTTAATTATTATGCCGAGAAAACTCGGGCGAAGCAGAATTTGTTAGTACGATTTCTTTTATCACGGTTTTATTTGGTCTGGAGGAAATGAAAGGAAATATTCAGCTTTGATTGGCAATTTGCCAAATTTTGTTGGTTGCGCGATTCTTTTGGAGGAACTGGTCACGTGTTTCCCTATTGTATTGTATACGTTGGCTTGTGGATTAGTAATGTATAAAGAAGGATGCATGCGTTGAAAAAAAATAAAATGATGGCGATGATGCAAGATAGCGAAAGCGATGATTTTTCAGATAATAATTATGAAGAGGTGAAAAAAAAATCAAATCCAATGAGACAGTGTACTCTGTGCTCCCGTGAAAGAGATTCCAGCGGTAAGCCGGTAAGAAAAGAGACCAAATACCAGTGTAGAATGTCAGGCATCACTCTGTGTTGTCCCTTGTTTCAAAAACTATCATACAAAGATTAATATTTAACTTTTTTCCATTTGCCCGAGATAACACGGGATAGTAAACTAATATTAAAAATAAATGCTTTTACACCTTCAAAAAATTGAAAATTCAACTTAAAACCTACATATTTTGATTTGTTTCGTTTTGTTGTATTTAATAATAAAATAAAAAAATGTGATGATTTTTTGCAATTTTTTTCAAAAAAATTTGTAAGGGAAGTGTTTTTAAATTTATTGAATTAATGAAACTATTATTGTGTGGACTTCTTTTTCCCACCATGGTGATTTATGTTCATTTACATATTAACTTTTCATATTAAATTTTATTTGATCTGAATTGTCCTTATTTTCTGTAGACATTTATAGAACTCTGAAAATTCTACCAGTGTTCAATACATAAATATGTATATTTAATTTTTTTTTCATATCAATAAAGGGAACAGTACTACGTTTTTCTACACAATAACATGTACATTAATTGTTAATTTATTTCAGGTTTAAAAATACTTTGTTAAACTAAAGCATTCTTTTCTGATTTAGTATTTTCTCAGTATAAAACTAAGCAAATTCACAAAATCAAATTAGCTTAAGAACATAAAATTTAGAACGTCTAATTAAATACTAATATATTTTATGTTAGAATCATATTACAATTAGTTGATTAACCTGAAAAGTGCATTATGAAGTGAATAAAGTTGATTTGTCTTCTTTTGAAATTGTGGCAGTGTGAAAACCTTCCAGAAACTCTTGATTCTCCTTTTTTTGAGTTTGGCAGCTATGCATATCTAGTTTTCAGCAAATTCTAAGTCTGGTGAACGTACTTCACTGGCCAATTCTGTTTTTTAATAATATTTGTAGTAAAGGGGAAAAGTATATTATTACTGGAGCGTAATAAAAGTAAAACATCAAAAGTCTTCTAGCCTCAGGATCCTCCAGCCATTGAACTCTGCTAGTTTGACTTGGATTCGAAACCTCGCAAATTATATTTGCATGGAAATTTTATTGTTTTCTCTGTGAATAGAATAACCATTTCCCTCTGAAAGTCCTCACAAAGGCATTGCTGTGTTTGGGCAAGTAACCTTTGGATGCTTTGCTGTAAGCAAATATAATCTTCGTAAAATATGGTAAGTTTCCTTTTTCCAGTGCCAAACATGTATGCCAAATGATAGTGGTTCAAGAGTTGGAAATGATAAAGTATACTTTTAATGCAACATAAAATTGAAATTTAGAACTTTAAAATCATATACTTTGATATTTTTGTTGATGTAGCAAAGTATTGTAGCCTAGTAATGAAAGTCTGCTTATGTACTTCTGATAATTCAGCCACTTAAAAGTAAAATGAATGCTTTTTCAGTTAATGGGTTATAGAAATTTATTGTACTTTTTTCTTGTTCTTATTTTTAACATTTGATAAATAACCTTTTGCTTACCTTTCTTGATGATTTTACAAGACGCTTGGAATTCTTTGCGGTTTCGGTTTTCGCACAAAACTTTATTTTTTACAACAAAAATTTTTACATTAGAACGTTCATTATTTTACTTTTGTAGCCACTACATTTTTATCAGAATCTGAAATGCGGTAAAACAATATAACGAGCATAAAAATAAAAAAAAAGCCACTCCCTCTCGTGGTCAGTAACATAAACCGTAACATGGGTGGGTACCTTTATGTGCACATACATGTTTAAGTATATATCTTGGAACTTTGCATTAATCCTTTTCTGTAGTAGTACAATTAAAAGAAATAGTAAAAACATAAATTTAAAAGCAGAATCAGCAGACTATCTAAAATAGACTTAAAAATACCTTAAAATTTCCGAATTTTTATATTTCGTTCATGTAGAAAACATTAATTTGACATAACTTATTTATATTTTTTTAAATATACAGAAATGATTAATGTATTTTTGTGTGCATTTAATAGGAAGTTTGTTTTGAAATGTGGTATTACTAATAGATAAATTTCCAATTTATAGGTAGCATTTACCACTAGAATTTATCATCCAAACATCAACAGTAATGGTAGTATTTGCTTGGACATATTACGCTCACAGTGGTCTCCAGCTCTAACAATATCTAAAGGTAATATATTTAATGGGAAACTGAAGAATTTTAGTGATTTTGATTAGCTAAATGCAGAAAATGTTGACTTTCGTTTGCTTAATGAACTTCAGAAATGTGAAATTAAAGTTTAAAACATTTTTGTTTCGAGACATTTGATTCAAACTATCTGCAATTATCATTAATTATATATCTAGTTGCTGAATTTTTTGGGTGAGGGTTGTATGGCAATTGATCAAGTAGTAATGTTTATTTTTCTAACCTGTTGCATGTAGATTTTAACTTTTTCTTTTGAATATTTTAATAAAAATTGTATTTTGTCCAAAAAATTTTACTTGCTGCAATGTATTTTTTATCGATTTAAAAAGTTTCTTTCAGAAATAGGTACTGCTTTTTAGTATTTATTTTACTTTTCTAAATACAATTTGAGGAGTTTTGACTAGATTAGTATCTTACTTGTAAATTAATTGAAATTCATTTCCCATTCCCCCTTGCTTAGATTATATTTAAAATTAAATGTTTAAGTTCTGTGGTAATTGTAATAAAGATGGTGTCTTTGTTGAGGATGATTTTTGATTTCAGCAGCTCAGTGTGAATATAATTATATCTAATAAGTTGAATACTGGATGAAAAAAAATTATTTATATTATGAATTGCTTTGAAATATTGTTAGGAAAATAAATTGTTCTTTACCACGACAACAAATTGAAAAGGTGATAAGCATTGAATATTATTTTGTCATGCGTAATGCAATATATGTAATACAGTTTGGGTGTTTTTGTATTAAGTATGAAGTTATCGTTTAAATTAACATTAGGCTAAGAACTTGTCTTTTATATGTAATATACTTTCATGCTCACTATTACCAGGAACAAAGCTTACATATATAAAGTTTTCACATGCAAAATACTTATCATGTATGCAAATTTATTTTATAAATAAAACAGTTTGATTGTCCCCCTTGTAAAGACTGTATGTTATGTTCAACTTATTCAAATTATCATATGTTAAAATGCCTGTACAATTGCATTTATCTATAGCTTTGGAATACCTTGCTATAATTAAAAATCGCCAATCAGTTTCTTGTTAACAAAACAGATTGGCTGCAGTGATTGCATAACAAGGTACATGTAGCCAAAATTGCTAACCGTTGAACATTCAGAAATAACTGAAATGAAGGATTTAGAAATTAATAAAAAAATTTTGTTGTTAACAGCAAATACTATTTAAACACTTATGATTTATCTTATGATATATGAAGTTAATACGGCATGTTCTAAAAAAATTTTTAATAAATATTTTTGGAATTGCTAACTGCTGTAGAAATCAAGTTACTGGGATCATTCTTAATTCTAAGCATTGTGAAATTAAACAGCTAGAATTACAGTACAAAGTCCGTAATCCGGACGTCCATTATCCGGAATGATCTATAATCCGGACCTCAAAGCAACACTTTTTTTTCTATGCTTTACGCATGCTCGTAAAGAATTCGTTTTCATTACGCGCCCTTTACTTCCACACTCATAACATCTTGGTTCTTTACTCTTATTATTTACACAAAACCAAAACAAAACGTGTGCTTTATTTTGTGTGTTAGTACTTGAATAACCCTTATTCTTAGTATCTGGAACGTGGATATATTCATAAATTTTCAATTTCTCTTTGAATTCAGAAATAGCTTTACACCCGTACAAAATAATTTTATTACTCTTCTGATCGGTATCCTTTATTACTACTCTGATCGGTATCCCGCAACAGGCTATTTCACGCATGGCAATTAAATATTCGGAAAGGGATTCACCAGGTTTTAAGTGCCGTTTAAGTCCAGACATAGTGTAAATGAAACACATTTTTTTCTACTTAGCACAATATTACTTACATAATTAGAACAGCTTGGCTTAATGATTTGTTTCTCTAACCATTCCAAAATCTGTTTATCAATTTCACGCTGCTCTGGGGGGACGTCGCAGCGCGCAATGAACTGAAAGTTGATCTGTCAGCAGCATCCTCATCTTCACAGCAGATGTTTTTATTTTATTCGGCTTATAATTCCTTACTAAATGTAGTATTTCATCTCAATGTAATCGGTCTTTGATATGACTTAAATCCATTTCCTCGTCGTTATAAATATCAAGAATACACATCAAATAGTTTTTTGGTTGCAATTTTCTAATTTCGACTATGCGTAATGTATGTTTTACACATGCGCACGTTGAAAGAAATGTTTAATAAAGTAAACAAATAAATATTAAGCTCTTTTTTTGTAAAATTTGATACCCTTTAGATCATAATTGCTCTTTGTTTCATAAATTACAGTTTCATATTTTTAATTGTATAATTTCTGCATGCCATCTTACCAGATTTAAATTGATGATCTATAATTCGGAAAAACCCTTAATCCGGAATCGTCGAAGTTCCAACGAGTACGGATTACGGACTTTGTACTGTATTTACATATTTTGAATTTTTAAATTAAGTTATATAGAGTGTAAATAATATAATTATAACTCATGCAACAAACAAGTAACTGTTTTACAAAATCGTAATTTATAACAAATCTTAAGGGCAGAAATTTAGTATAGGTTGTTACACTATTAATTTTATGACTTTTAAAAGTAATTTCTTTATGTAATTTCAGTTGAGTAAATATAATTTATATTTGCTTTACGTAATTAAAACTGTTCCGAATTTTCTATATGTGTAGCTAATTTTATGTGAATTTTAATATTTTTTGTGTAATGAAAGGCCTTAGAAAGCATTGTCTGAAAAATAAGGTTATAGGAGTAAGACCATTTCACATTGAGGTAAATGGCTATCTTGCCAAGATGAAGCTTGAGATGGTTTTGGCAACTATTTTGTATCACCAAGCTTGGCGACTTTTTGGTGTGATCCCTGTATAAGTGTAACTGCTTCAGTCCCTGTGGGAGTGTGCATGCCTTCCTGCACTTTCGAGAAATCAGAGGTACTGGAAATTTCTGTTAACACTTTTGCCGTCAGTACTGACGGCAAAAGTGTTAACAGAACTAACGATATAACTTGAACAGAACTAACGATATAACTTGCAAGGAGGCAGATGATGATAATATCGGTGGTGAAATGAGGACATTGAAACTCGCTTGGAATTGTCTCAAGTAGACTGTGGATAATTGCTTGAAAATTCTGTATCGAATATTTTTAAGAACTTCCATTTCTATATACTAGGATTTTTACTTATTTAACCTATATGCTATATTGTTAACCTGTGATTTATAAATAATTTGATCACTAAACTCTTCTTAGAGTTTTATGACCAAATTATTTATAAATCATTTTGAACACTTATGTAAGCTGATCCCCCAAAATTCAGTAATAAAGAAATTGGCTAAAAATCGCTTGTGCATGAACATATATGGTAATTTTTATGTATATTAGTAAATAGCTAGCAAGTTTTAATTTTTATTTTTTAGCTTATTGAAGTAGAATGTCATATTTGAAATTATTTACTGTGCAAACTATGAAATTTTTCTTTTCGTTCTAGTTTTGCTGTCCATATGCTCTTTGCTTTGTGACCCTAATCCAGATGATCCCTTGGTACCTGAAATAGCTAAAATCTACAAAACTGATCGGGAGAAGTACAATGAGCTGGCCAGAGAATGGACAAGGAAATATGCTATGTGACCTCTCCAATTATTTGATAACTAGTGCTTCTTCCATTACACCATATTATTTTCTGCTGTTTTCCTGTTCTGGTCAGTCAGGTTATTTGGGGCCAGTTCTTATTTTGGGATATTTTGTAGCATTCAATATAAATGAAACTATTTAAGAAATCATAAATTGTTGTTAAATTTTATTCTGCATAAAAAGTGTTTGGTGTAAAATTCTACAAAAAAATATGAAAAAAATTATCCTTACATTTAATGCTTATAGTACTGGCAGTTTTCTTAATTTCTGTTATTTAATTTTTTTAAATTCCATGGAAGAAACTTTTTTAAAAAATTTCTAGTACACTTTGCACTGTTCTTTTTCATATTTACTGCTAAACTAAACTAAGGCCACCTGTGCTCAATTTCTAACTCTTAGATTTCAACAGTTTCTGTAACCAGAACTGGAAATGTCATCAATTCAGTGGAAAACATGGCCAGACATGTATTTGTGTCAATGTGTAAATGTAATCCCCCCTCTGATGAATACTGACTTCTGCTGTGTAAATAAAACTTTTTACATCTGCCAGAATATGAGCGTTATTACATTTTTATTTAATAATTAAGTTCTGTATTATGATTTACAATGCTCGAATAAAACATTTTCATCGGTATATCTGCAATGTAAGCACGAAATACCGTTGAAAACTAAGAACTATGATTATCCTTTCATTTTCTGTCTGGCCTCATATTAAGTGCAAAATGTAGCCTAGTTCGAAATAAATTTTCAATCAACATACGTCCTCTGCCTATAGTAGCAGATCCTCTGCACATAGTAGTTGGAGGCAGCTGCAAGAAATCTCCATTCTGTGATGTTTGGAAATAAATTCTTTGTGTAGTATATTTGAGCATGGCAGGAACTATGAAATTACATAAAATTTCGCTTTAAAATGTCTCAATGTACTTGCTGAAAACTTCTGTATCTGATGTGATTATTTTAAGTTTTATTTTTTTGTTTGGCTTTGCACTTCAGAAGTGCTAAAGTGAGTATTTACATCACAGAGTAGTGAAACTAATAAATTTATAATGCATTCTGATTTTCCTGAAAAGGTGATTACAGTTCAACTTAAATCTATACTCATTTCTGCAAGCTGAACATAATCTAGCCCAATAGAGAAAGTTCCTCAGACTCCTTTCAGACATGTGTATTTATTGTATAGTAATTGTTTTTTAATCTGATATTTGTAGGTAGAGGAAGTTATTTTATATTTGTACAGCATGATTTTTTTTTAGGTTTAATGTGTTTTATTATTGCATTGTATATTAACTTGTATAAATATTTATATCTTTCTAAAATATATCTGCCATGTAATTTATTTATACAAGACATTATGCAGTGCACTTTTTAATTTTACAATTTAAGCTATTGCTATGCGCTTTGATTGTTACATATTGAATAAATATTCTGAAAATGGATAACTAGTGCTTTGATAGCATCTTAATGCTATGTATGTTAATGGCTATTTATTTTCTCTTGTAGCAAAACCAATCTGTCCTGCTTCTGCGGTAGTCTGTAATATTAGATTTTAAAATTTTTTGCTTGCTTCGGTAATCATAATTTATTTTTGGGAATGTAATGCATGTTTTGCTAAATTTAATGTTCTTAACTTTAATAGTTGTAATGTTGACATGCAGGATAAATTTCTAAGGCTTTTAAAATGTCTATTTGGCATTAATTTCAACACAAAAATGAAATACTTTTAAGAATTAATAGGTATCATCTGAAGATTACTTTCTAAACTCATAATCTTATAGAAATCAAACTACCAAAATGTATAATCTACTGATTAAGCATATGGTTTATTTGACTACACACTTCCCTTAAAATACGTAAGCTTTTTTAGTGTTTAATTAATACAATTATTATTAAAAATTTGTGGTTTATTTGTATTTAATATCAAAGCTTCATTTAGGAGGTGGAATGAGGAAGAACAGTCAAAATAATATGTATTTTATTCTATAGGAAATATATGAAAAAAATTTTGTCATCATTTTGCCAGGTCTTATTTGAAATAGCGTATCACAATGTTTGGATATTTTCAGTTGCAGCTTTACATTGCAGAAAATATGTTACTTGCATATGTAAGTTGGGATGTATACAATAATTGATAACAAGGGATATTGTTCTTGCTGGTAACACTTACATAATCATTTTCACCACTTTTTTGTGATTCTAGTCGGTTGTGAATTTATTAACGGATTAAAATTATGCAGGACAGCAACCTTATGTTAGAATAGATTTTTAATAAAACTATTGATTTAAGTCAAAATTTATACCAAATAAGATTGCTGTGTTAGCTAATTTTAATTTTCCATGTTTCCCTTCCAGTTTTGATGAAGGATATCATAGTCTGTTTCTAAATTCAGTGTGTAAAAATATATGGAAAGCACAAGTGGAGAAAAGTGCTTTATTGTTTAAACATTACATAAATTATAGAATCAAAAATCGAAGTCGAATCTTCTCAACCATGGGGAATCTCATAGTTTCAGACTGGGGAGGCGTGATCACTTTTATTTTGTTGTTGGGTCTTTTTTGTTTATTAATATAAAAAACTTTTATTCAAGCTTTAGTACTTAGGCAATGCATTGTATATTTTTGTTGTGTAATTTTTAAAACGCATTAAATACAATCCAAATCTTTATCTATAAAGTTTTGAAAAGGAAGGAGGTGGGGGAATGGTCTAGCTTTGATGAAAGGAGTGCATGGGGCAATAAAGTTCGAGCATCACTGATTCTAACTAGTAAGCTCAAAGCTTATTAAACTGTAGTAAATTAAGGTATGGTACATATTTTTATATTTACATGCCTAAAATTAATTGTGTGCAGTAGGAAGGATATTTACTGAAAATATTCAATGAGTAGTGTAACTGTTTATTAGAATTATTTAATACTTGTATAACTGTAACACTGGATGCAAGAGGATTAGATTTTCATTTCACGTGAGTTATGAGATTTCCTACAATAAAGGTTGCATTACAATAATAAAATAATATGAAGTGCAGGTATTTCAGCTGTGGTTTCAGTAGTGTGTAAGTAGTGTGTATTGTGAAAGTAAATAAATTGGCAAAAAATTTGTAGCATTATAATTCATTTTCAGGAATGAAATCATTCTTCTTCAGCATATAATGAAATGAGAAAGCATAGAAACTTTCATTTCTATTGAGATTGTTGAACCTTCTAAAAGCTTCCTCGTTAGTTTGTTAGTTTTCATATTCTAGGCTTAACTCCCCATTCTTTAGTCAGCTAAATGAAGAAAATATGTTGTATACCTTTAAACTGGCCTGACTGATTTTTCATTTTGTTGTTTTGCATAACATGAGCATGTCCTGTGACTGTAATGAAACAACTTTGTAAATGTTATGCTTTCCAGGTATAAGGTTTAAACAGTTTGATTTTTCATCTCATTAGGAATAATTACTAAAAACTAAATTCAAAGAAAGATACTTTAGAAAAAAAAAATGAATCAAGACTTTGTGTAATTTAATAAATAAAAGAGAATACATAGTGTAAAGTTAATGAAAAAAATTATTTTATCAAAGTATTTTGGCATCTGATTTTCTTCATTTGTAAACTGTGCTGGTAATGTTACATAAATCCTTCTTTAGGAATATTTATTCATGTAAACTTGGTAACTGTTTATGTGAATAAATGTTGCTTAAAGAAAGAAGATTAGATGTTAATTTCATCAGAATATTAAATGTGCTGCTGAATGATTATGGCAGTGATTTGCATATGGCATAATTTTATAAATGTTAAAGTTGTATATTGTGTGATACGTAACATTTAAACAATTAATGTACTGAGTAACAAAAGTATGGAGAGAGGTTATTGCTGCTAATGATATCCATTTAGGAAAGGTACAGAGTGGCCATTTTCAAGAGGAATACAGTTATTCTGTCGAAATTAACGGGTGTGAAGCAAGAGGTTATAGTATTGAAGCAATATGTAACAGTGATATTGACTTCCAAAATTTTTAATATAAAATGGCAGATTAAAAACCTCTTTCCCCAGAAATGCCACAAGTAATCTGAACAGTATTTATAGAAATACACATATTGCTTTTTCACAAACTTTAAAACTTTTTCACTGACCAAGATATATCACTGAGATATAGTCCACTATTATAAAACTTTGTGAATAATATTTAGTAACTAATTGCTTATAACATCCAAATGAAGAATTTATCTTCTGTCCCAAATTTTCACATATATCATATAATTAATAAGATCTGTAATTTTTGGGGGGGTCAAATTTGGTTTTAATTGGAACTGATTGTTAACTGTCTTGCAGGAGCAGCAGCATTTTCACCTTTCCACTGCATTTGCATTGAAAGTATTTCACTTCATGGTTATCTCAAGCTTTTTCCCTTGGTCCAAGGTTCATATCCGACGAACAGGCTGGCTGCATGGGCGTTTTCGTCATGTACGAGCCAGTTCCCTTAGGAAGTCCTCCACAAAGGCATCCCTTTCCTTAGGCAGATAGCCCTAGTGTGCTTTGCTGTAATTAAATAAACCAAACCAAGCTTTTTTGCCACAATAGCAAACTAAATGATGAAAAGTTGGCAAAAAGATGAAGTTTATTTTCAAAAAAACGATTTAGTGCCATTTTTGTAGAAATATTTGCAAAACTATATTTATAATAAAGTATGAATTCATTAGGACAAAGCTTCAAGTCATGTTTCATCAAGCATCTAGCTGCATATAAACATATATAAAGTGTAACACGAAAGTGGCATAAGTTGTATTTGATTTTTGTACAACTCTGTAAAATATCCCACTGCAGCTTTAACAGATGTATCTTTGGGAGTTTTGTTGAATTAAATGGCATAGATTAGACCATTTTTGTCAAGACATCAAAGTTTTGAGGGACTTTGAAACTGGCTATCTTGAGGCAAACACACACATTCCTTTTCTTAGGTTCAGACATTCCATATTGTAGATGTGAATCAATCTTAGTAATCGTATCATACCTGTTGTGAAATCAAAACGGTATTTGGACTGTTTCTTATGATCCACTATGTGATAGTGTGCATTTTCATTTCATCACAATTATTCTTCATTGAAAATTGTTCTATAACAACTTGATCTTTATTAATATATGTAATGGTGAACTAAATTAACCTTCTGAGCGTTATTGACCTTACTTACTTTAATAATGTAAATATCATCTTAATGAATGTAAGTTTATGAAAATGTAAACTAAAGTAAGTAATTATACGAACTCAATTAATAAATACCGGTTTTTGTGATGGATCTAAAATCCTATGCCGGGCAGAGGGTTAAGAGAATTTGCATATTTTATCGAATTACTTGAAAAGAACTAAACTGAAGGAAAAACCCACTGCTTCCAGATAAAAATGCAAATATTGTACAGCAAATATGTAAGCATACACATGTGTGTAGACGGAGCCAGCAGAAAAACAGTCTTTATCAGTGCTGCGGGGAGGCAAGACAAATTACGTTCACTAGCACACCTCGGCGAATTTCTTGGTGTGTTATCTTGTAGCAGTTGGTTAAATTCACATCAGAACAGTAAAAATGAGCAACCACCAACGTTTAGATCACAAAATGAGATGGCGAATTGTGGAGAGGCTAGAGGCTGGCCAATTCCAAGTCCAGATATGCAGAGAATTTAATTTAATGCCCAGCGTCGTGTATAACC